TTGAATTTCTCTAGTCTACTTTGTTACTTTGGTCTTCGCTCCTTCCGAGGATGAAGCCTTGAAACGGCTTGAGACCGTCTTTTCACAACTCAGGGCTAGTAACCTCAAACTAGCGCAAAAGAAGTGTCATTTCCTCCGAAAGTCTGTGAGGTTTCTTGGTCATGTGGTTGACAGCAGTGGTGTGTCTGTTGATCAGGAGAAAGTGAATGTGATCTCTGCCTTTAGGAAGGAAGACCTCATGAATGGTGATGGCTGCACTCCATCTCAGCGGAAAGTCAAGTCTTTTCTCGGCATGGTGCTTTACTACCAACACTTCATTCCTGGTTATTCTGCCATTGCCAAGCCGCTCTATGCTCTTACTGGCCGACAGAGAGCTGGCACATTTCGTGAACTGACCCCCGATGATTGGACTCCTGCATGTGCTTTTCAGACTTTGAAGAATGTGCTCCTAAACAGTGTGGTGCTAGCAAATCCGGACTTTGATAAGCCTTTTATCCTCTCTACCGATGCATCTCTTGATGGTCTGGGTGCTGTGCTTTCACAGGTGCAGGCTGGTGAGGAGAGAGCAAGGCCCATTGATTTTGCCAGCAAATCCCTCTCTCATAGTCAAGCTAACTATCAAGCTCACAGGCTAGAATTTCTAGCTCTCAAATGGGCTGTGTGTGATAAATTAAAGTGTGATAAAGTCATTGGCTTAAGGGTCATAAGTTCACTGTGTGGTCGGATAACAATCCACTCACATATATACTGACCAAGCCGAAGCTTGATGCATGTAAGCAGCGTTGGGTCTTCAAGCTAGCTCCATATTCCAAATCAAGCATATTCCTGGTTGCTTAAATGCAGTGGCTGATGCGCTCAGCAGAGACCCTTTTGTGAAGCCTTTAAGGGAGAGTCTGCTGTGTGAACCTTATTCTGAGCTATTAGATCAGTCTCAGGATGTCAACTGTGGGTGTGTACAGGACACCTTCCGCCTTACCTGTCAACCTCAGTCCTTGGCTACTTCCTCTCCACCAGCTACCTTTAATGGTTCTCTGTCTGAGGACAATGTCTCTTCCATCCTCTCCTCTTTGGATGACTGGGACTCTGTCCCTAGACAGTGCGTAGCCTCCCTTGCCAATCACCTGACCACTTTGACACCTTCTGGTCAGGACATGTTTCCTTCCTTATCGCTCAGTGACCTTCAGTCCCATCAGAACCGAGACTCAGTCATTTCTAGGGTCTGTTATTATGTTGAGCGGAAATGCAGGCCCTCCAGACGTGAACGCTACAATGAGAGTCAGTCAACTATGAGTATCCTCAGGCAATGGAATAAATTGAAATTTTGAATGGTATCCTCTACAGGGTCACGAAGGACCCTATGTTGAAGTATAAGAGGTTTCCGTTTGTTGTACCTGATTCACTGAAGATGGACATGGAGAAAGATGTGTGTGCAACCATGTGAGGTGTTGTCAGAGGTGTGTCCTCAGTAAAACCCCTGAGCCGTCCACCAGAGCCCCACTAGAGAGCACTGCTCCTCTGGAACTTAGGGTAGTGACAACAAGTCTGTTGATGTTTTGGTGATCACAGATCATTTCACAAGGCTTGCACACGCGTTTCCCTGTCAGGATCAAACTGCCAAGAGAGTAGCCAAGAAACTGTGGGACAACTTTTTCTGTCTATGGCTTTCCTCAGCGCTTGCACTCTGATCAGGGAGCAAATTTTGAAAGTGAGTTGATTGCTGAGCTCTTGAAACTGTCAGGGGTTGAGAAGTCACACATGTCACCATATCATCCTATGGGTAATGGTGGTACTGAGCAGTTCAGTCGCACTTTGGGCAACATGCTGAGATCTCGCCACAGATGATCCAGTCCATGATTTTTGTGTACAACTGCACTGTTCATGAGACCACAAGGTTTGCGCCTTTCTATTTGATGTTTGGGAGGGTCCCTAGGCTGCCAGTTGAGCTCATGTTCAAGAACGTGCTTCGTGATGTGACTGTGTGTGACTACGATGCTTATGTAAAGTCTCTCTTAGAAGATCTGCACTGTGCCATGGCTGTGGCTCAGGAGAACTGCACAGCTGAGCAGAAGCATCAGTGTGATCGGTATAACAAACGGGTCAAAGGTCAGTCTCTGTCTGTCGGGGATCGGGTTCTGTTAGCAAACAAAGGTGTTATAGGGAAGCGCAAGCTTGCTGATAAATGGAAGCCTTCTGTCTGTACAGTGGTTGCTGCTAAACCTGCTTTACACATCTATTGTATCCGAGACCAGGACGGACATAAGCGTGCTGCCCATCAAAATTTATTGCACGAGGTTATCAGATTTTTTGCCTCTGAATGACACTCTGGAAGATGTTGTTGATTCACTGTTTACACCTACTCCCAGTGTAGTTAACGCCCCCTCTCAATCTGATTGGCATGATATTGAAATGGATGCGTTGGATACTGCAGCTGAACCGTCCCTTGCTGGTTCCTTTTTAAATGTGAGTGGGAAGATGTTTCGCACCACCTCATCTATTGTTGAGTCCCCTGTACAGGGCGATCTGCTGGCTCCTCCACCTAT